CCAGTTCTCTTGATTTCGGGTCGGGTTTGTAACATGTTGGGTTATATTCGGGTCGGGTTAGGAATGAGTCGGGTTGAATTCAGGTCAGGTTAGTAACAAGTCGAGTTAAATTAGGGTTTTGATGGGTTATAACAGGTTTGGGTCAATTTCGTTTCAAGTCGAGTTCGGTTCAAGCCAATAATTTACGGGTCACATTCGAGTCTAGTCATCTTCAGGTCAGTTCATGTTCGGGTTCGGGTTCGGGTTTCACATACTTGGGTCAACTCGGGTCTAGGATTGGTTTCGGGTCGGGTTTGGGTCACCCTTTTTTCGGGTTCAGATGGGTCAGTTAATAATCGAGTTTGAGTCGGTATTTCGGATCGGGTCAACTTTTGACAGCTATAATGATGAGTACTTCAAAATTCATTTCATTTACATGTTCATTACAATACTTGATTTATTTTAGTAATAAATAGAAGTCCCATAACCATTATTATTAACTTTTTATTTCATTAGCACATTTTAATATACAGTAGCTAGGGTCAAAGAAAGGTGATATAGTAGTATAATTAAACAATTCAAACCTTAAATATTAGGTGACCAATACAAAAAGCAATGATCTAATAATGAGTAACTTTATCAAACTTCAAAGCTCCAAATGACAATGATTTCATTCATCAACATCAAAATTCAAAAGGTAATACCGAGTATTTAAGATCTAGCTTAACATATCTTAAGGATATCATTAAGGGTGTTAATGTTATGTTAATAAACTAGCACACACATCAAGTTAAATTGCAGTGTAAAATCCTATGGCAACAGTTCAATTTAGAGCCTAATACTATGACATTTATCTTTGTAGCATTTTGTAAATTATTAGGACAGTCAAAAGCAAGCTACGTACATCTAACGGTACTGTTTATCATTATAGTGATGCTAAAAACTAAAGCTGCACAGCCTCATTGAGTCGATGTTAGCCATTGTGGCATACCTATACCTCGTTCACCTATCATACATTCATACCTATGTTGTTAACTGTACTCTTGACAATAAGTTTGGTGCCATGTTATACATGGACTCGGTGTTGGTTAGTTGCTATTGTGTTTAAAACGCGGTTGCCTATATTCAATACAAAATAATAAAATAAATCATGGGAAGGGAAGGTTGCTTTGTCATACATTCCATATACCCCTAGAAGGATGTGTGCAGCTTAAGGCGCGGTTGGTTATATATAATTACTAAGAATTAAGAGAGTTCAACACTCAATGCAATAAGAATTTGACATTTCATGTTTTTAGTCCATATGTCGTAGTTGAATCGAGATGTAATGAACATTTTGAGCAATTTCTCTTGAAAAATATACTAGATAAAAATTCATACAGAAGTTCAACTTACATTTGATCAATAGAAAACAATACAAAATGATAAACTTTATAACAAGAAATCATTCTACGGCTAATTGGACACTCATCCTATCCTTCATAAGGAATAACAAGTTAGAAATTGAGCCGCACTTAAAGACATTATAAACAAACTTAAAGGAAAAAAAAAAAAACAGTCATTTTCTGTTAGTCATTGCAGGAAAAAATTCTCAGGTGAAGCATTTTGATCAACACTTGGGATAATCGGCTGGTGGTGGTGGCAGCTTCTGATTAGGAAGCTTTCCGTCTTCGACTACCCAAGCCATCTTCAAGCCCCAACTTGTGTGAACTTCCAAATGGCAGTGCATAAACCATACTCCTGTATAGATTGCATCCAAATTTTCATAATCAATTAGGACAGTAAAAAAAAATGTGTTGAAAATGATATATAGTCTCAAAATTGGTTGTTATTATACCTGGATTGTCTGCAAGAAATCGAATGGCAACCCACCCTCCAGCAGGCACACCAACTGTGTTCCTTTCAACAGGATCAACAAGGTTGTACTTAGCAGGGTCTTTTTTAGAATCGAAGTTTCCGAATCCTTGTCCAACAACAAAGAAGTTAAACCCATGAAGGTGAAGTGGGTGGCTCTCTGCCCCTAGAATACTAGTGCCCTGCATCACAAGCTCAACGCTTGTGTTGAACGGAATTGACACTACCTTAGTCCCATCTATCACGTTCGTGTTGTTAGGTGGTGTGCCGGTGTAGTTGAAGGGGATTAGTGGTGATGTAGGAAGATTGGTGGTAAACACACCATTAGATTGACGGGAGTAATGTGATTGCAACAGAGCTTTTGTAGGCATGACAAAGGATACATTGTTGATAGCAGCCGCAAACATGGTGGTATTGATTGGGCCTTGGCATGTTTTGTTTTTAGGACATGGATTGGTTCCTAACCCCACTGTAAAGAAGAAGTGTCTATCGACATTCTTTGGTACATTCGCCGGGTATTTAACATTTGCTAGGCTTCTAAGTTTGTTGGTGAAGTTGGCTACAAAAGAAGTGTCATTAAGGGCTGGAAGGGTGGGCTTGAAGAGAGGAAGCTTCTTGATTGATGTCGATGGTTTTGGGTGTTGGTATTCAAGCATACCGGCAACAGTAGAGTTGTCAAAGGTACCGCTTCCTGTGGCATAAGGCCGAGCCATCATGAGGAAAGTAGCACCAGGGTAAGCAGGCTTTGTCTTGAGGAGGACATTGGTAGTTTGACCGGGAGTTATGATGATTGTATCGCTCTCAAAGGGCTTAACATAGACAGCATCGACATCTACTGTTGTGAGAGTGTGATTGGCAATGCTAAAGAAGAGATCGTCATTGAGTGCAGCATTAATAATCCTAAGGAGATAAGTTTTGCCGGGTTTTACACTCAATTTGAAGGTGTCTGCACATACACTTTCGCAATTAGTCACAATTTATATGTTCATTTCAAATAATACTTCAATTTGCTTGCATATACCTTTAGCTGAGCAGTTGTATAGTAGTCCAGGAAGACCATTGATGGTGTAGGCATCTGATACATTTGGACCGCCTCCTGTTTTTGTAGCTTGGTTAATAACTGCCTCAGTGTCTGCATTCCACCATTCCCCTGCAAGCCCACATACAATTTGATAAATTTAACCAAAATTTTCGTTTTATTCATTCTATATAATTATTGAAATTGAAGTGTAGCATGTAGTAGAGCTTGTAGCATTACCAAAGATAAGAGGAACTTCCTTGTAAGGATGAGGAAAAGGGTAAGGAACACCGCGCTTAGGAAGAATAATGATAGGTCCGTAAAGGGTTGCTCTGAGCCAAGAAATATGAGCATGCCACCAAAGTGTGCCTCTCTGCCCAACAATGGTGAAGTTATACACATAAGTCTGTCCTGTTTGTATGGGACACTGCGCTATGTAAGCCGGTCCATCTGCCCATCCACTTCGTATCTGCCTAATCCCATGCCTGCATATATAGTCACACAAATCAGTACAGCATTTTTTTGATGTCAAATTTCAAAAATAAATAAACTTTATGACATTAGTATACCAATGAAGGGTAATGTTGTTTTGGACATGGTTGACAACTTTGATAACAAGTCGATCACCCTCTCTAGCAACAATACGAGGCCCTGGAAACTCTCCATTAACTGTAACAATGCTCTTAGTATGGCATAATCTTGTCACATTTTGCATCTTGATCTACAAACATAATATTGCAGCGCAACAAGAATATACATCGAGTTAGAACACAATGTTGCATATAATATTAGAACAAAACTAATAAATAGAGTTGTTTCATGTACATCAAACTTGTAGTGCCTAGTGATGCCAGTGTCAGCTGCATCAACAACATTGTTGGAAAGAATCGAGCACACGAAGCTGAAAAGGACAAAGAATAATCTGTAGGAAGTTGCCATGTTTTGCAACTTGATAAGCTTGAGAGAGTGTATTAGAAAGATATTACCAAGTTGAGAATGATTTTGGAGTTTGCAATGAACTGAGAAGCTTATATAGGGTGTATTTTGAAAAATTAGGTGGGAGGGAAAACAAAAGTAATGGTAATCGAAGCTCCAGCAAGTACTAATGGATTAATCTAATATGTTTGTTAGATTGTTGGTTTTAGAGTAATCCCAAAGTATGTAGATTTTCTCATGTATTTTTATTTTAATTATACAAAAAGAACAAATATTAACTAAGTAAATTGTTACTTGTTCCTATTTGCTATTCTTGATTATTACTATTAGCAAAGCCTTGTTTAGTTTATCCTAGCTAGTGCTCTTGTGATAATGAAGTTAATCTTCATCTTGTGAATGTATTCATCGCAAAATGATGATCATATGCTAAAGTAACCAGTAGTAGCAAGATGTACTTATTAATCAACACACCAGCACGAGTATGTGTTCATGTGTCAAATAAGGCCATTTATGAGAATTTGTATCATAAATGACCTTATTGTAAGTCCAATCTAGTCGATCTTGTAAACATATACTCGTAATGATAAATTGTTAATTGACTACCTCGTTAGTAAATGACTTGTAAGCATGTAGCAAAAAAAAAAAAAAGCGTCACTTAGAGGGTACTCCTGTTGATAGGCTTTCCTTATAAACGTATGCATGCATGGTTGCAAAGTCCATTTCAATTCTGTATACAAGAGTGCATTACAAAATACGTACTTCTGCTAACCATTTATAATACGATGAATAATACAGTATAATTTGAGAGGGATAAATGAAGATACATTACAGATGATACGAGATTAGACATTTAATTTAGCTTGGTATGCAATCAACGATGCACTTGATCTCCCGTAAAAAAGAGACGAAACCAACAAACATAAAAAGAAGCTCTTGATTATTGTCTTTTAGGACGATCGATCAATATTTTGTGCACTCGGAAACATGATATACATTATGCTCTTGATTATTGTCTTTTTTTTATTATACTTGAATGTTCTTTAATGTTGGAAATTCAATAATGGCCTCAATCTTTACTGCAATACTTCGTATTCAATATTATATAAACCAATAATATTAATATTACCAGCTCTTATAAACAATTAAATCCCAAGCTAATCTCAATTTGCATCAGCAATTAATAGACTTTGAAGGAAATCAGATTCACAATAAATGAAAAATGTAATAATGCAAGTTCTCTAATAAAGCTAATAAATTTACAAAGCAAAGCAAGAGGCTTAACTTCACGACTTGTTTGGTACAACTATAAAATAAAGAGTGGGGCAATTTTACATGTAACTTTCATACAATAGCCCAACGAAGAACATCTTCAGTTGTATTTTTCAGTACCCACACATATAGGCCATACTGTAGTGCATGTTCACATGAAACATCATTACCATTCTGTCTATTCTATTATATTGTACCGAGCATGCCGTGTATAAACTTTCTAACAATGTATCAGCAAATACTCCTACTACTGGTACGTTCCGGGATGAGCTAAATTTTCACATGAATGTAGAGGCACCCAGCTTAACACTTAAGCTACATATAACCATAAACTGGCTGAATGCAATGTTTACAGAGCTTTTTTAAACCATATATGAAGCATCATCATGGCTGTCTTCGTGCCAGCCAGTCCCAACCTTATACTTACATACAGGGCACGTTCCCTGCTGTTTAAGCCATGGGTCAATGCAACTAGCATGGTACTGCACGAACAAGAAAAGAATAGAGTAAGATTTCTAAAATGAGATGACAAAAAACTTTAAACATGCAATCATTAATCAGTTTAGCCACTCTCGTTAAAAGCTTTCTAATAGTTTGAAGCACCATAACCAATTAACCATTGTGGTCATACAGAGAGAAACTGAACCACTCTTGCATGGAACAACAATTTCAAGTTTAAAGACTGACTATAAAAATAAATAAAAAATAAAAAATAAAAAAACAAACAAAACAAAACAGAAAATCAACTTACTACTTACCGACCTTGTGAAATACTGTATTATCAGTAATGGACAACAATATATCAATCTCATTTTCTCACAACATAATGTAAACCAACAGAGGACTCAAAACACAAGTAAGAAAAGCAAAGAAAACCTCTAATAGCACTCACCTGGTGCAAACATGGCAAGCTACGAATGAGTTCTCCAACATTTACTTGCTCCAAACATACAGTACAAGTTAGTTCATCTTCTGAGCTTCCCTTGGAGCTGCCAATATTGATAGAAATGTCCTGCTGCTTCAGGTTTAGGAGAAAGTTACCCAACAAAAGATATCAATATAATGTAGTGAATACTGAATAGACAAGAGAGACATCAATTACATTCTTTAAAAAAGTTCAGAACTAAATCAGCTATTATTGATTCAAGCTCAATAGTCATATATTCAAGTAACTAAAAAGCTAGTATAGGCCTAATCTAAACAGAATATAAATGAATATTGGAAACACTTATCTAAACAGACACTAGAGATTTGACCTACTCCGCAGATATAAATGAATCAGAATGAATCACATAAACAAGAACCCTGAGTATATTCAGTTTCTAAATCTAAACAGAAAAGATTTCACCCTTAAACAAATCACGAAAATATGCACAAAAGTGCTGGAGTTAAAAAGAAAACAAGACCTCAGACAAAATTATCATGCTCCAAAGACAAATTGCTTCATATAGAAGAGCAACCCATTGGCCATTCATCAAAGAAGACCTTCAGATGATAAACAACTATCAAAATCCATTTAAGAAATAATTTCTTCTCAATTGACGAGTCTCTTGAGCAGATGATATATGCCCATCCCCCTAAACAGTTCCTCCCTTTTTGCAACTGATTTTAACTACAGCACACAGGTATCTTTACATCATAACAACGGGAACATGAAACAGAAAATATCCTATTACAAGGATATACAACTGTTCTTGAGCAGATGAGAGCAAATCAGGTTCATTTATGACTTGCTATCTCAGTCAAATTAAAGTAATCTGTACATAACCACAATCAATGGAAACACTTATCGGTATATAGACTACAATGAGATGGTCGTTATTTACACCCCAACCCACCCCAACCCACCCCACCCCACCCCCACCCCTCTTGTTGCTTCCCTTTCACAGAGCACTTGAATGAAATGGAAGATTCATATAATCATCCAATGACCTTTAGTAGACGTTTCAAGGTAGAATTATGGCCCAAAGATAATGGAGATGCCTACATATCCGAAGCTCTAAAAAATTAATGATTCCTAATAAATGAAATAAGGATTTTCAAGAAAAACTAGTGACAAAGATAGGAAGAAGATACAAAAGGAAAAAGGTAAACATGAAGGGAGGAAGTACTGTTTACTGAGTAAAGTAAAACAACTAGAGATAGAGCCAGGACTAAACAGAGGCCTGATGAAAAGGTTGAATATTCAGTGCTCAGTAACCACAAATACACATAATGTTGGACTACAATAGCTCGTTCATCTGGTGTGAAAAAAAAAAAAAAAAAATTGTGAATTCAGTAGCAGGGAAGAAACAGATCTATCACACCATCATATATCATTTCAACCTATTAGACCTAAAAAGTTACTTAACTGTGTCAAGATTTTAAAATAAAAAATGCAATCAAGACTCAAGAGGATCAATATTTGATTCAGAGCTGCCTGGAATATTGTTAGCTCCACTACACAAAATATATACGAGAACCAAGATCTTTCTAATTCTCAAGGAATGCTTAATTAAACATATAATTGTAAGCTCTGTTGGATTGCAAAGGCTAAGGGAGACTGTTATTACTTGTTAAGTAATTGATAAAATTGACCTTGTATCTCTCTTCCTTCTTAAGAAACTAATAAGATGGCCTATAAAGCTATTAAACTCACTGAACTTATCTTCATCTAGGCTGTGGTATAGTAGTGATCCACACAGCATCTTACGGAATTCAAGCCAACAAAAATCAAGCACACAGAAGTAGAATACCTCAGAAGACGCAGAAGATGATGCCTGCTTATTTGATACCATATCACTGTCTCAAAAGAAAACAAAATGTCAATATTCATATGCTAGCAAAATTTAACAACAACAGATAAGCAGGATAACCTATTCCAAAGAAAAATACAGAAATAAATTTACATAAACAAAAGATTAAAATGCAAAAGTAGAAGCTTCAAACTGGAAATCGACAAGTGCATGCACAAACATGAAGATTAAGTTTAAGAATACTATCACTTCATGCACACCAAGAAAATTTATAATAAAGACAGTTAAGAGCTTCAATCTTTCCAATGAGATGATGTTTGTTATAAATCTGCTTACCTGACACAGTTCACGTATCACAGCAACCTAATAGCCATGTTTAGCAGTTGATATGTGTGTGTGTGTGTGTGCATGTCATTTTTCATGGAAGAATACTTGCATATCCAAAATATAGGCCACAAATTGATAGTGATGTGAAACTTCTATAACACTTGTTGAAGACATTTAAATAAAGAAACTAATACATAGGGAACCTTCTTGTTGAAAACAAGATCAAACAAAATCTCACCCTTCTACATCGGTAACTTTATATTTGTGAACAGGAAGAGAATTTATTTCATCCTCGCTCATTGAAGGAACAGCAGGTGCATTGTCAGCATCCAGCGCTCTTAAAGTTTCATAATCTGCAGATGATAACTTTATTTTAGAAGAAAGAACACAAGGAAAATGGACAGTTAAAAAAAAAACAATTTGAATATTCGTGAATCATCAGCATCATTCCACCAGTAAACTACTTAAATTATAGGCAAGCGCAAAAGGCAACTCAATTCACTATACCAAGATCATCAAACTCCCGATCAAGAAGAGCAAGCTGCAGCCTAAGGCCATGCAGACGTCCTCTAGTGGCAAATGCAATAGATGGTGGCATCTGCAAACGGAGCTCAGTATGGCGAAGTAGGCCACTGGCTGCTACAGCATGTGCTTGTGCCTGTGCTTGAAGTTGCTGACATGTGGCATACATTCTTAGGCTAGTAGCCATCAAAAAGAAGCCAAATACCAGCCAGAGCTTCATGTAGAGTAAAAACACATCATGTTACCACTTAAAATAACTGGATTTACTAAACACAAATCTACTTGCATATCTCAAACATATATACCAAAAAATTCGGTGACATTTGATGTGAATTTAGTATCATGAAGATCAAGAGTACTGCAACAAAGAAAAATGTATAAGAATTAGCCTAATCCAAAATTGATCAATAGAAACATATATAATATAATCAAAAACGAAAGCTGCAAATATTACAAAGATAGAAGCAAGTAATATACCAGTAACAAGAAAAGCAAGTGAATTGGTATTCACTGGCCGTGCTGCATGAATGCGCTGATAAACAAAAACAACAGAAGAAACGAATGTTTGTATTAGTGTCAATATCATAAAACAAGAAGTGTCAAGTTTGACAATGTAAATTTTATTAAACCAGGCCATTTTATATCAGTGAAACTTTAACACAGGGATATGGAACTTTGAACTGTTGTGCTAAACTGCTAATCCTAAAATTTTCCATAAATAAGGATATGCAACTTGAAATCAAGCTATATGAAATGTACCACGCGCCGTTCAGGGATCATTCCTGGAAAAGCATTCTCGATATCAGCTCGAGACCCTCGAAACACAAAGCTCATGATTGTATAATTTCACAAAACGAACTCCAGTACAAAATTAATCTGTATGTTGTATGAAGAGCTTCCCTTCAAAAATTCAAAACAAATAACAAGAAAAATGTCAATATAAAACTACAAACATCCAATAAATTTGCCCCAATACACAATCTCATATATATTTGCATTCTGCAATACATACAAATATACAATTCTCCATAAACTGTCCAAATAAACCCACATTATAAACCCTTTTTGAAAACATGCCAGTAAACTAATTACACACAAAATGATCTTAAATTACTCAAAAAAAAATCCCTAAATTAATTGTCGTGAAATTAGGGCCTAATTCATAACCTACAAATCATAAAGCCACAAAATGTAAACGTTTTAGCACATCAATTTAGAAATGAAACCCTAAAATTACCAAACACAGCTCAAATTCTTGATTCTTTAACTAAAACAATTCCCAATTAAAGAAAAACAGAAAACATAACGCTTATTTAACTCTAATTTACCTAATAAACCCTAAAAATTATATAAAAAGACAAATCAAACAAAATTATACAGAATCAATGAAAAAAAGAGGAACTTACGAAAATTCGCGTCAGAAATTGTGAGTAAAACCGAACAAAATGAACTCAAAATTTGATCAAAATCAAAATGATCAATTATTTTTTAGTATACTAAATCCTAAATTAGAAATGCGAGTAAAAAATTGAAAGAATTTAGAGAGCAAAAGAATTGTAGGCAACGAAAGCCGGCGTTGTGACTCGGACGCGTTGAGAGTCGGAGACCGAGTTGCGCACAACGTTTTGACTCGGGAGGTCTCTCGTCAGCTCTAATTTTCCAGAATTTTTTTACAAATTAATTTTGTGGTGTAAAACTTGATGTTTTGTTAAAACGCAGCGTTTGGAGTTGGGTAATACAAGTAACAGGAATTGCTTCAAAAAAAAAAATACAAGTAACAGGAATTACGGAATTACCTTGTCAATCCTAACATTTATTTTGTCAATCCAACTACATTCTGTTTTTTAATGGATAATAATGATACCCCCGATGTAATTAAGGATTAGTCGTTAGAAGTTAGGCTATACGGAGTACATCCGTTTAAGAAAAAAAAAAAAAAGCCGCACTTGGTGTGGCACGGGTTACTTGTATTTTAGGGTTACGTGTATTTTGGGGTTACTTGTATGGGTTACTTGTATTATGAGGTTACTTGTATGGGTTACTTTTATCGTGGGGTTACTTTTATCGTGGGGTTACTTGTATGTGTTACCTGTATTCTAAGTAACTCCAGACCAAAATCCCATACCAAACCAGTAACACCTACAAGTAACCCCATATCAAAACCATTAACACCCATACAAGTAACCCTAGAATACAAGTAACACCTGACAAAACCAGTATCACCCTACAAGTAACCCCGATCAAAACCAGTAACACCCATACAATTAACCCCAGAATACAAGTAACAACTACAAGTAACCCATGACAAAACCAGTAACACCCTGCAAGTAACCCCGACCAAAACCAGTAATGTTTCGGGGTTTTCTGATGTCCTGCGGGAGAGTTACAATTCCGAGACTGGAACCGGACGCCTGTACCTGCAAAACAAACGGATGCTCCGGATGATTGGAGATCCGCCTCCGACGGTCAAGTTAGTACCTGATTAAGGAGTAATTAATGCGGAAATAAAAGTGATTGGGTCTCTCTAGGTGAGAGTGTTTAATGTGTGTAATCTCTCTTAATGAGGATTAAGGGAGGTATTTATAACCTTGGTAAACGTGTCAATCCTAGGTTTAGGTTAACCTAGGGCTGATTGGGCTTCCCTTGGAAGTTGGGCCTAGGTGGCCGGTTTCTCCATTAGGCATGGAGGATGCCACGTGTCATGACATAATAGGTCCAGGGTGGACGAATAGGCGTGTGCCACGTGGCAAGCCCTGACAGTTCCAACTGTGGGACACTTGGCAGGACCTGATTGGCCCACGTGGCGCATTCCGATTGGTGGGAGCAAAATCCCCTAATCAAGTAACACCTTACAAATAACCCTTGCCGCACCTTGTGGCCAGCCACATACAAAAATTTGTAAAAAAAATTGTTTTGGCTATACTCCGTACGTATCAATTTTTTTAAACATTTATTTATAGTAACCTACTTAAACTTTATCTACTTGATTTAGTTGTTACAATCCGAAAACTCAAAAAAATTCTCAAAAAACATGGATATTAGCCTTTAATTTTGAAATTTTTTGACTTTTTACGCCAGAAAATAAAAATTGCCGAAATATTTAGCGTGGTTCCTAATACCCTCGGGTAGTCCAATTAGGTGGGTGAAACCATCCAATTTGCATTTAAACGGCCAATTTACCGATTTACAACTTGCACTTATTGCATTAACTCAAGTTTACCACGAACATTTATGACAACATATAATGGTCAATTATAGTTTCAAACGTCATTATATGACCCCTAAATGTATCTAATAAAATCTCATTTCTTTTCGACACCTGGCCCCGAAACCTTCGAAATTTCTCAAAAAACGTGGATAATTAGCTTTCAATTTAGGAATTTTTTACTTTTGTTCGCCCAAAAATAAAATTGCCGAAATGTTTACCATGGTCCATAATAACCTCTGGAGGTCCAATTGGGTGGGTGGAACCATCCAATTTGCCCTTAAACGACCATTTTACCGGTTTACAACTTGCACCAATTTCATTAACTCAATCCTACAACGAACATTTATGACAACAAATAATGACCACATATGGTTCCAAACGGCATTATATGACCCCGAGATGTGTTTCCTAGAATTTCGAGACTTTTAGACACCGGGCCCCGAATACTCCCAAATTTCTCAAAAAACGTGGATATTAGCCTTCAATTTTTGAATTTTTTTGACTTTTTTTCTTTTATAAATAAAAATTGCCGAAATGTTTACCATGGCCCCTAATACTCTCCAGGAGTCCAATTGTGTAGGTGGAACTATCCAATTTGCCTTTAAACGGCCTATTTACCGGTTTACAACTTGTACTGATTTCATTAACTCAATCTTACCACGAACATTTATGAAAACATATAATGGTCATTTATATTTTCATACGTCATTATATGACCCCGAGATGCATGTATTCCCTATAATTTCGAGACTTTTAGAGACCGGGCCCGAAAACTCAAAAATTTCTAAAAAAGCGTGGATATTAGCCTTCAATTTTTGAATTTTTTGACTTTTTTTCGCCTGTAAATAAAAATTTCCGAAATGTTTACCATGGTCCCTAATATCCTTCGGGATCTAATTGTGTGGGTGGAACCATCCAATTTGCCTTTAAACGGTCTTTTTACCGGTTTAGAACTTGCACTGATTTCATTAACTCTAGCTTATGGCAACATATAATGATCATATATGGTTCCAAACGGCATTAAATGACCCTGAGATATATGTATCCTCTAGAATTTCAAGACTTTTCGACACCGAGCATCGAATCCTCCAAAATTTCTCAAAAAACGTAAATATTAGCCTTCAATTTTTAAATTTTTAACTTTTTTTTTCGCCCGAAAATAAAAATTGCCGAAATGTTTACCATAGTCCCTAATACCGTCCGGGAGTCCCATTGGGTGGAATGAACCATCCAATTTGCCTTTAAATGACCAATTTACCGGTTTACAACTTGCACTAATTTCATTAACTCAAGCCTACCACGAAAATTTATAGAAACAAATAATGATCATATATGGTTCCAAACGGCATTATATGATCCCAACATGTATCCCATATAGTTTCAAGACTTTTCGACAATGGGCCCCAAAACCTCCAAAATTTTTCAAAAAACGTGGATATTAGTGTTCAATTTTTGAATTTTTTTACTTTTTTTTGCTCGGAAATAAAAAATGTCGAAATGTTTACCATGGTCCCTAATACCCTCCGGGAGTCCAATTGAGTTGGTGGAACCATCCAATTTGTCTTTAAACGGTCAATTTAATTACCGGTTTACAACTTGCACGAATGAATTTCATTAACTTTAGCCTACTACGAACATTTATGACAACATATAATGATCATATATATTTCCAAACGACATTATATGACCCCGAGATGTATCCCCTAAAATATTAGTACTTTTCTACACCGGGCCCCGAAACTTCTAAATTTTTTCAAAAAACGTGGATATTAGCCTTCAATTTTGTTTGTTTTTTTTTTTATTATTATTTTTTTTCACCCGAAAATTAAAATTGCCGAAATTCTTACCATGGTCCCTAATACCCTCCTGGAGTCCAATTGGGTAGGTGGAACCATCTGATTTGCCTTTAAACGACCAATTTACCGGTTTACAATTTGCACGGATTTCATTAAGTCAAACCTTCTACGAACATTTATGCAACAAGTAATGATCATATATGGTTCCAAACGGCATTATATGATCCCAAAATGTATCCCATAGTGTTTAAAGACTTTTCGACAATGGGCCCTGAAACCTCCAAAATTTCTCAAAAAACGTGGATATTAGTCTTCAATTTTTGAATTTTTTGACTTTTTTTTTTGCCCGGAAATAAAAAATTCCGAAATATTTACCATGATCCCTAATATACTTCGGGAGTCCAATTGGGTTGGTGGAATCATCCAATTTGCCTTTAAACGGCCAATTTAATTACCGATTTACAACTTGCACGGATTTCATTTACTCAAGCCTACTACGAACATTTATGACAACATATAATGATCATATATATTTCCAAACGACATTATATGACCCCGAGATGTATCCCCAAAAATATTAATACTTTTCTACATCGCGCCCCGAAACTTCTAAAATTTCTCAAAAAACGTGGATATTAGCCTTCAATTTTGATTTTTTTTTGCCCGAAAATTAAAATTGTCGAAATATTTACCATGGTTCCTAATACCCTCCTGGAGTCCAACTGGGTAGGTGGAACCATCCGATTTGCCTTTAAACGACCAATTTACCAATTTACAATTTGCACGGATTTCACTAAGTCAAAGCTTCCGCGAACATTTATGCAACAAATAATGATCATATATGGTTCCAAATGGCATTATATGATCCCAACATGTGTCCCATAGAGTTTCAAGACTTTTCGACAATGGGCCCCGAAACCTCCAAAATTTCTCAAAAAACGTGGATATTAGCCTTTAATTTTGGATTTTTTTGACTTTTTTTTCGAATGAAAATAAAAATTATCGAAATGTTTACCATGGTCCCTAATACCCTCCGAGAGTTTAATTGGATGGGTGAAACCATTCAATTTGTTTTTAAACGGCCAATTTACCTGTTTGCAACTTGCACCGATTTACCGGTTTACAACGACCAATTTAATTAACTTGCACCGAACCCGACTTGAACCGAAATTGACCCAAACTCGTTTTAACCGGTCAAAACCCGAATTTAACCCAATAATAAACATCTATGTTTAACTTAAAATAATATTTGACTAATCATTACATGTCTCACCTTTCAATATTTGTCCTTCTTTGACCAGCCCTTACTAAAGCAATTTACTTAGATTTATTAGAAGATTCCATTCTATATGAAAATTCTTTACATGATGATAACTACTCCTTAAGAATATTGTTCAACAATAAAATTCAAATGAAAATAAAGTCCATATTAAAATTTAATTAACTACTCTGTATGCATTAAATTTATACTTGAAAATTATAAATAGTTAAAAAATCATAAAAATATAAACATTAATTACACTGATTTACGCGTGTTTTTGTCATGAATTATTAATTTTATACAATTTTCAAGAGTATATTTAATGCTTATATATAGCCCTTAGGACTACATATAACATTACCCTTAATACTATTCTTTTTCTTTTTTCCTATAAAAATAAACTTCCTACAATTTTACGCCTTTTTCTTTTGGCTTTATAAAAATTACTACGAAGTAAGTTTTATACAAGCCAAAAATCTGAAACCAGCAAAAAAAGAAGGGGAAAAATGGATGAGGGATCCACGGGCCCACGAGTAAACTGGATCCAACCCAGTCAAGAAGGATGGGCAGCACGAGGTATATTAGTATTGACTGTACAGTACAACCCATTATTGACCAACTTCTCTTCATGGTTGACTAGCTTCAACCCATACTATTTTTTTTAAGGTGACGTTTGGTTCTTTAAGGGAAAAGAGAAAGAGTTTAAGAAAGGGAATGAAGAGCAATGGAAAATAATTCCATTTCGTATAACATACAATACCCACTTGATATATTTTTTCCGTATAGATTATCGTATATTTAAGGTCAAAGTTTATTCAAATTTGGCATTCAGATCAGATAGACCAGACCAGACCATAGCAGATTAGATCAGACTAGACTAGTAAAAATAAGGTGAACCAAACAAGCCCTAAGGGCCTGTTCACATTTACTTAATTTTAATTCAGTTCAGTTCAGTTCAGCTCTAATCAGTTCAATTCAGTTCAGCTCCAATCAGTTCAGTTCAGTTCACTTCATCTCTTAATTTCCCTCATAAAATATTCAATTCAAATCAGTTTAGTTAAGTTTCAATCAGTTCAGTTCAGCTCAGTTCCGTAAATGTGGACAAACCCTAATTTTTTTTTTTATTAACTAAGAGGCTATTAACATTTATTGCCACAAGATATTTATAGAGGGGTGACAAAGTAATTTAACACGGCGCGTTGCTTGACATATGCGTTTGTATATGTATACACACAATGGTCACTACCGGATCAACTCACAATCAAACAATTCTCTCAACATTGAAGAGGACAAAAAGAAACAACATGAAATAAATGAATTTAACTTGTTCATTAATCTTAGGAGATAGTTGAGTAAAAAGAGGGACTTTATTGAGTCAGAAAATCACAAGATATATGTGATGAACAGCATGAATAATTACAGTAGTAAACGTACTGTTGCTTTGTTTACTTGTCACGATTACAAGCAACACTATCTTTTTGCTAATGAACCTGACAATTAATTAATTAAATTGGAGGTGTATAAAAAGGTGATGATCGATCTAGAAATTTATTAATGGTTGTGCACACGTGACAAGGACCAAAAACATACATCTGGCTCATATCTCACCTTATTTAATACTATTGGTCTTCTCTTTCTCACTGATAAAAATTGATGATGCTATGCAAATTACTACCAAGTACCAAGACAGTAAATTTTTTGTTTTTACCTCGCTGTTTATGGATGAAGGATGAAGATTTTGCAAATAAATCTCTAGATTATTAATGTCAAGTTACAAAATAAATATGTTTTTCATGGTAATGAGATGGTGATTTTAAATATTTAGGGATATAATCATATAATATGGAGAAATACTTGTGTATGTATAGGATTGAAATGTGAAAAATGGTACTCATAATTCATAAATGGCTATTGAAAGTATGTATAACTGTATAAGCAATTACGGATTTAATGTTTTTATTTTTTTTATTTTTTTTACAAGGGAGTTAGTGTTTTCTGTAAGTAGAATATGGATGATAATGTTTAATTACACTTTTTTTTAAAAACAAGTTTAGTTACACCAATGTGATTATAAATTTATAATAATGTAAGAATCACCAAGACACCAACTTGCTACTATTTTTAACTTTTTACTTTTATTATTCCCAACCCTAACTAGAATGTAGACATTAACAATGCTTATATGCATTGACTAGCTTTACTAGTTAAGTAGGTTGACCAATTAAACACTCTTTATCTGTCAAAAAAAATTAAACACTCTTTATTACATAAATATATATACCTAAAGGAGGAAAACATACTCTATTACTTAATGTTTTTATTTCCTTCTTTCTTTAAAGTAAAGCTTTAATGCTACCAAATCCTCATTTTCAGTTTTCTAATTGTTTATTCATGCGGTGTAAAAATTATTGCTACGCAAAATTAATCTAAATAATTGTAACTATCACCATATAAAAACTTAGAAAGTACTCCATATAAAGATATGAAGAACTTTTAACCATTCAAATTTGTTATATACAAGTAAAAACTTAAAATGTACATAAAGATGTACATGTAGTTGGCAAATGCCAAACCTAGAGAGAGTTATGTACCATCCAACAAAAAACCACTTCACACGGCTCACCTTCAAGGAAGTGGACCTATCTTTAGATATTTAGCTACCCTTGTTTGGTCAAACTCTTAACCAAGCTCCTACCAACACCATATCTTTAAGCTTTGAACACATTATTTTCACATTTACATACAAAAGTATATTTAAAAAAAAAAAAAAAAAAAAAAAAAAAAAAAAAGACAAAAAATCTACTGTTTTTAGAGGCCCAATCCTAGTCTCTGACTGGCCAAATCACACCTAACCTCTGCTAACCCTACCCTTGATTGTACCAAATCAAATTCCATCCACATATTTTGTTGATGATGATGCCCAATTATATAAGCTTCTACACCAAGTAGATCCGAATTACCAAATGTGAAGCAATGCACCCCATCAGGTCCTCTAACCTCACCCGGAACCCGATATAATAATCGCTCTGCGGATACACTCATTTCAGCTCCTTGAAACATTAGTGTCACGGTAGGTAAAACCGGGTAACCCTTTTGAGTTAAGGGTACTCGATAACATAGATCCATCGCGCCTTGAAACACATAATTTGGGTCACCTAACTCTTTTAACGTGGTTCTAGTTTGGGCTAAGAATTCATTCTTCAAAGCGGTATAGACCGGTCCAAGTAAGAAAGTAAATTGAGTACCTGAGTCAACCATGGTTTGACCCGCACCCGTGTGATCGGGTTGAAGGATAGATTTGGGTAAAGTAAGTAATTTACCCCCAACTTTAATCCCTTCAAATTGTACCGAGTATGCCACACGGTCAAAATACGGTAAAGGGCTAGTAACTTTTACCATAGGAGTGTAACTTCTTGGCTTAAGCCAAGCAAAATTAGCCTCTCCAAATAACAACACACCCGAAGCGTCCTGACCCGAAATACAATACGAAAACTTTGGGTAATTCATTTGTGTCACAAACGATAACGACCCACGGTTCATACCCAATAACCCGGTAGTCCTCGAATCGGTCTCGGAACTACTACTAAAACCCTGATCCATACACCCGAAAAAAACACCCGGCATCGACGACTCGCCCATTTTAAAATTATCCATTGCAAGCGTTCCCTCCATCGAGGAGAAGTCCGCATAAGAAACTAACACGTGGCACAATTTTATCGGGTCACATGACGCGGGAATAGTAAAATCCCGCGTTCGGGCCCTACAAGTGGGTGAACTACACGGGATTCGAGAATAAGAAGTTGAGTGAACAGGATCAAATAAGGAATTTAAACCCGGATTTTTTTTACAGTGAAGCCAACAGAGCTCACTCCCTGTATCCAACACCATTGTTACAGGTTGTGGCGGAGTGCCAACTAGGAGAGAGACTGTAAGACTAACGTTGTGATGAAAAGGAAGCTTACTTGCTGGCCGTCGGATTGACCCAGGTGGGATTTGCTGAGCTTTAAGCGCAAACATAACAGTATTAGAAAGAGTTGAGCTGTGATTGCTTTGTTTTGATTGGACGAAAACAGAGCATATCTGTAACAAAAGAAAAATTAGAAAAATTAAATATTTTTGATGAAATTTCGAATTACCCATTAAAGGGTATAATTAATTAAGGGTTTTGAAGTGATTTTCGTGTTGTAATTTGGGGGAAAAAAACTAAAAAGGAGAAATTTTGAAAATTGATTGGGATTTATGGAGTGTATGAAAGGTGTTTGATAAAATGACGCAATGAAGTTATTTATAGAAAAGGAAAGGAGGAGGTTGGGTTTGGTGATGGTATATATAGGATGGTCCAGGGAGGAAAGAAAGGTACAAAACAGCTGGTGATGAATGAAAAAGAGCTTGGTTTTCCCAAGGATGGAAAAAGGAAAAGTTAGGGATCTGGAAACAAAGAAACAGGGGATTTTTTAATTTTGATTCAATTTGATTTTTGTGGATTTAAATTTAAAATTTTGGGTTACCAATAAATAAACAACAAAAGGTCTAATTTTGATTTTTCAAAGTTTTGTTCTTGGAAAGTGGGTGAATTTGTCCCCCTATGATGCAAATGTTTCCAAATGCTAGAGACTGTTAAAAATTTTGGGGAAGGATTTTGTGTTACAATAGTGGGGGAAAGGATAAGAAAATATAGAGAATAATAAATAGGACAAATTATAAATCGGTGGTTTTGGTAAGAAATTCCAAAATCGTTATGTCCTTGTAGAAATTAAAAAAAAAAAAAAAAAAAAAAAAAAAGGTATAAGTTCTCTCGGTTGAGGAATTAGTTTTTTTTTTTTTTTTTTTTTTATAAATAAAAACAAAATTTAGTGGATTTTCAGATATATTTTTTTCAATGTATTTATGACATAATTTAATTGATTATATTATACGCCTGTATCATGTACATGTGTACAAACTACAAATTAGAATAATTTGGTTTATTTGCTTATTTTTTAATTAAAATTAATTTGAAAAAATGAAAATCAAATTAATTATTTTAACAAATACCTCGCTCCAATTTAAGGTAAGGTAAATTTGGTGAAAACATGAAGATAATGTGACGGATGATAGTAAAATTGGTGTAGTTCATGAATTAAAAAAAAAAAACACCTAATTTGATTAGACTACATTCCAAACGTGTAAATTAAGTATAATTTAGAAGTTAGATAGATAGTACAAGTATAATGATAGTAATGTTATAGTATCATGTTTTTTTGTTGAGCCCTGTGCAATGATCGACCTCGTCAATAGTATGTCAAAGAAGCTGCCCGACAAGAATTTTATACTCTACCAACATTTGACACTTGTTCTCTTTTTTATTTGGTTTAATAATATAGTAAGGAGCTTCAAGATCAAACAAAATTAAAGTATGTCTTATAAGCTTACATTTCTTTTAACGAAGACTACATGTATACTTATGGGGTATATCCGTATATGTATTTATGTACATGTGTTCGGATTAGAATTTTAAGGCATGACTTTGACTATTGATATTTCTAATTACATATTACTGATACAATATAATGCGAATATACATATTAAAAATAATTTTTAAAACACGACTATAGCATGCAAATTAGGACATTTTTATATACTTGAGTTTTATTAGTTTATTATCATCATTAATAATGAATGGAAAGAATTCTATGAAATGAAGAAACTATATTGCAAAAGTTCCATAAAATGTTACACAAAGTCATTGTGACATAAATGTAAGATGGAAGTTGCCAATTTGGCCATGGACTATAAATGATATGGCTGGATGCCAATTCAGAAATTGAAAGTATTGTTAATTGGCACTCCTAATTTGAAAAAAATTAATCAAGTGAGTAGTTATCATCAGCAAACTAAGGATTATACTAATAGTCTTGTCAATATCCTGTCTTAAACTATCATGGTTTCTAAATAATTTTAATTAGTTGACTAGGAACAAATCAGATAGCTACACGTCTACTACACTATTTAGCTAAATAATATCCTAATTATACAAATTAATTTCTAAAAGTTAAAGGCAACTCAATAATTGTTCCCTAATAATTCATGCATTATATTTCTTTTATTAAATGTTAAGGGAAATATTTCAAATTATGCACTTTCTTCATGAGGTATGTATAGTTTAAGGACATTATTTTACCTAATTTTTGGAAGTTTGCCTTATATTTTTTATACCTCTCCTTGTCACAAGAAAAATCGCAATTGACAAAGGCAACTCAATAATTGATCCCTAATAAAATTTGAGGACAGTACACTAGAAAAAGGATTTAGGCATTTAGCTAAAAACTTCATTTATTGTGCTTGACAAAATTTTAATAGACAGTCGTCTTTTTGGATTTTTTCTTGGCATTGTTTTCTTTTGAAGGGAGGGGTTCAACTAACAACCTAGAAACAACACTTATATATTCAACTAGAGTTAATTACTAGGAGAGATTAGGGAATTTATACCTCAAAAATAAATGATATATTCGGAGAATGTGTTGTGTACATTATGTCACATCTATCGTGTATTCATATCATTTGTAGTTTACGATATAATTTGAAGTAGAACAATATAATTTTATGCATTTCATTTATTCTCTAGAATTACAAGAAAAGGAATCTGATGGCCGATCTTTTTACTTATATGAAGGAAAAGTGTGTGGTTTTGCTCTTTATACTTGATTGTCATTTTTCGCAATCTCTATGCTCATCTTTGATGGCTAATCATTTTAGTTGTATTGTCAAAAAAAAAACATTTTAGTTATTTAATACGAGTACATAAAATTTGAATAATTAATAATTTCAACATACAGTACGAGTATAATTTAAACGAATTAAATAAGATTTACACAGTACAATAAATTTTTTCTTTCTTACTTTAAGAGCCGACGGACTTACTTGGCATATTGTACACATTCTTAATTAACGTTGAAAAAACAGTACTCGTATTTGTTTATCATCGCTCGCTAAGAAAAGGAAAGTTAGCCAAAGCGTAAAGAAGAGCGGTGTTAAAACGTTACTCGCATAAAGGATTACCAGTAATTAAAAAGCTTAGAATGTTGTCTGGCTTAATCCTTGCTTTTTGTAAAACAATCACTAATTACCTTAGGATTTGTGTAAACGTGTAACTTTGATATCTAAAGAAAGATGATGAAGAGTCCAAATCATCGTCTATAGCGTCTTTTTCGTGCATGGATATGCCAAATATATCAACCAATGAGTAATTAAAACTACACATTCAATTCTACTTTGAAAGTGAAAAGTGAAACCCAATCTTTACTTGACAAGACTTTTCTTGAATCAATTCTTTGCTCCACCCTTAATCATTTCATTATTCTTCAAACATTATTATTCTTACCAAGAGTTTGTTAAACTCAACATGGAGAAGTGAGGATACTATGCATGATAGATCTATGCATAACATATTTGTTATTAAAGCATATTAAATTGACTTTTAATCATCAAAAAAAAAAGAGAGAGAGAGAGAGAGAAATCTTGATCGCTTGATGAGTTAATACTGGTTAAAGACTAACAAACAAACTCAGACAAACAAACATATTTTATTAATCAATTATGGTCTAGTGGGTATATATTGGTTTTAGTTTTTTCCGTTGAGTTGATTCTCTAACAAATACTACTTGTATATTGAATACTGAAATCTATTCTAGTCTCAAGATTGATATGGATCAAGTTTTACATATTTTTTTTAATAAATAATCATATTGGATACTCAAGGTATATTGCTAACATAGGTTTTACTTAATTATTTAAAAGAAGTATATATAAACACTGTTATTGAGTCATGATTATAAATTATAATTTGGTTGGTGTGAACAAAGGACTAATCACTTTTAGCAGCCAAACATGGCTTTAAACTTATCGTTTATGCTAGGAAAGTTGATGCTTTCTAAAGGTTGCCTTGTTGAAAAGTATGAAAACGGATCAAGTACTCTTGGAAGGATGAGGAAGCTTTTTATTGTAATATGTTTTCTCAATACTCCGTTATCATATATAGTGATGAAGCTTATATAATGAGCAAATGTACATAGTGAGAAGTCGATTTGAAAGTTGTATGGTATGTATGGTACGGAATATTGCATTATCTGCATATCTTTAAATTTCGATATAATTAATTCTATATGTAACTAAAATACAACCACGATATTTAGTATCACCTTCAAACTATGGGTTGGAAATCGATAGATTAGTATTGTAAATTAGTCATGAGTCACCTTCGGACCGGGCCTCGAGATATGCATGACAGCCACTTCGTTCTGGCTGCAAGTGCTACAACCCAAAAATCCACCCCATAGTAAACGCATCAAGATGGGAACTTAGGAAACCGTCTTAGCCGTCAATTTAGTACAAAAACAGCCAGTTTTAATTACATTGATGCAAACATTTCTCGTCTTAGCTTTAATTATCAGGCCAAGTCTTCAAAGTGTTTTATGCCAACCAACTGTATGATCATACCATCTTAATCATACAAAGTAATGTTTACGTTTAGCTTACATATTTTATCAGTATGATCCTATCCTATATTTCATTGGTCATCTATATAATTCATTCATTAAAATTATAGAAAGTGACTTGCCAATTATATACCACCAGAAAACCAAAATTCCACTTTCCTATGTATTCCTCCAAAATTTGACACTTGTAAACATGTTTAGGTTATGCACTTTAGATTATGACTATAGGCTAACTATGCTAATTTTATAACGTTACTAGGAAATTAAGCCAAGGTCCCATTGTATTAATTATGGTGCTCTCAAATCAACTTGATCAAGCCAATTATCATGGAGCTGTTATCGATCAAAATCTCACTCTAAACGTACGCAGTGCTCTCTTCACTCGCGGACAATCATCTTATCTTGTTTAAACTTATTAGTTCTAATTAATTTTATCTTATAGTTCATCATTTGTAATTCAATATTAGAACTTTATTCATCGTCTTATCTTATCAGAATGAACTTACACTTATTTGGTCTAATATATATAAGTAAAAATAAGTGAAGCAAAAAAGCACTTTAATGCTATAAACTTCATTTTCAAATTAAGCATGCAAGAATTCACAATTATTACAATGAGCGAAAGAATTGAAGGCGTTGAAGTTTATCTGCACACACTGTTAACATCCTTGTGGGCCGTTGTGGCCTAGCTAATTTCAAATAAAAGACTTCAAATAACTATCCTAATTTACCACATATAGGTGACCTAGCCAGCCTTTATAAGCTTCTAGTCCCTAACCTTGTTGCACCCCCTCACCTCCTTATCGCCGACCCCGCCATATGCCAACAACCACTAAACCACCAAAGCAACTATACACTAGCTAGAAGTATCCATGATACAAGCTAAGCGATCATAACAAGGTTGCTTCCTTCATTTTACAACCGTCTATAAGTTTGAATTTTCATAATGTTAATGCACAATTTTAACCATAAATATCTATAATCATACTTTAGAAACTATAAGATACTTTTTACGGAGTATTCATTTAACATAACTAGCAGACTATACATACACTGAAAATAAATCTAATAAGATTTTAAGTAATTATATGAACCACGGGTCTATATACATGCTCCATTTAAGTAATTTGACCATTAATTTATACTATTTCATTCCATATACAATAATCAA